AATTCTCAGGCGCCGGATGCCGCCTCAGTCAGCTCATGAGCGCGGCTGGTCTCTCCTTCGGGAAGACCTACCCCTTGAGTCTGACCTTGGGCTAGTTGTAAGCGTAAAGTAGGAGTCGAGGCATTAGTTCACCCTGAGGATCCAAAGCCAGTGGGCAGGTAGGAGAGGCCTCTCCTCGGGACCAGCCTTCAGTCCCTTTGCTCCTGTTTGTGTTTTCGCGTCTGCCACTTTATCCTGGAAATCACATATGTAGAGTGTCCCTTACTCCCTAGACTGCGAGCCTCTCCGGTCAGAAGAATCCCGTCTTCCTCCCTGTATGAGGTGTACTCACATCTCTGTGTTGAATCTAGGTTCTGTAGGCTGCGCTCTTGGGCAACATGGGTGCCGACATGTGTCGTATCCGGATGGGGTCAGACAGCTGTTTTAGTCTCTTTATTAAGTCGTGAGCACTCGTAAGATGTTGCCTTAAGTGTTTTGTATTAAATTTAAGGCATGTAAAACAGAGGAAAATACTTGATTTAATTTCATTTTCTTCCCTTACATTTACCTTGTTTCTGACCAACGGACGTAAAAACCACTCCTTACCAACACAAATGAAACACAAGTCTGTTTCTTCTGGAAAATAATTAATGCAGAATAATTTTCTCCTAGAAGTGCTTGTTTTAACTTTTTGCCATAAGAGAACATTTCATCTAAGGGACAAAGCACAGCGTGGCCTGCCATATTTTTGCAGTTTGGGAATGTCTTACTGTTAAATAACAGGAAAAAAATGCTACAATTTTAAATACAAATCCGGGCTTCTTCAGATTCATTTAATATTTATTTGTTACCAGTTGGCAGCAAAGCAAATATAAATGTAAAGTAAAATGACTTTTCATTCTAAATACTGTTTTAGAAGCTCTTTCCTTAGTCCTTGTGAGTAAAATTACACTTGCAGTGTGTTTATAATCCTTTAAAATCCCTAAATCCTTACCAAAAAAGTTGACCCAAATGTTGAAATAAGGACTTTATTTACAGAAATGAATGTTTCTAGTTCTCTTACACTAAGTATCATTTTCTGGTGACTTATAAAAACAGTATTCACTTAAGCCTGCTGCAGAAACAACATACATATATACCATGCTTTTTTAGTATGTGAATTTGAAAGAAAGTTGTTTTGATTGTGAAATAGTGCAGCTTTACTTTAAAAAGGAGCGTTAGTATAAACTCATAGGTTGACAGAAGTGCAGTTTAATAAATTTTATGTCTAAACTTGGCCTTTTTTTATTACTGGTGATTCATTTTAATTAACATTGTTTTTTGTTGTGATTCCCAACGTACAAGGAAATAAAATCTCAAACCCTTATTGAATTGATGCCAGTATAATGCTTTTCAGGTCTTGTTTTTGCTGTAGGTAGCTTTAATTTACTCTATCTGCTTCTCTGTGATCAGAAATGACGTAGATATTATTGCTGACTATACTAAAAAAAGATTTTGTTAGAAGTACCCAGATCGTTATCAGTGGGAATAAACTCCACCGTCCTCAGTGTATTTGCCAGAACAGGGTCAGTGTATTTGCGGTCAATATTGTAACTTGAAGTTTATGTTCTCAGAGCCTGCAGTTTTACCTTGAGACACTTTTCAGTTGTTTGCTTATTTTAGGGGTTACTATTGGCATCACCTCTTTCTTTCTTTTTACATATCTCTGTAAGCTGCCAACTTCAACAGCTGCTGATTCTCAGTGGCCCCTCGCCCTTGGTTGACATTCTGACGTCATCCTTGACCGCTCCCCCGCCCTCCTCCTCTGCCTTCCATCCCCCAGTTTCTTTATGTCTGAAGCATTGGTGTGGCCTACGCTCCCATCCCTGCCTTCTTCCTTTACTTTGCCTTTTTCTGTTCCCAGGTGGCAGCCACTCTTGCACGTGGGCTGCTGGCGTCCCAGCCTACATCTCCTGTCTTGGACTCCAGGCCCAGCTGCCCGGCTGCCCAGCTGCCCGCTGGATGCCTTTACTTTCAAGTCCTCCTGGTCTTAACATGTACACAAGCCAAACTCCTCATGTCGTCTCCCCAAACCTGCTCCTTCTGTGTTCCCTGCTCACGCAGTTTGAGGCTGACTCTGCAAGTCACCTGCTGGCTTCCTTGCCCTCAACTCCCCCATCCAGATAGCCGCCAAATCTTGTGTATTCTGTCTTCTCTAAGCTTTTATTCAGCTTTTCTCTCGACTCCTATCTTTGTCCAGGCTCCCCCAGACCCCATCTCAATACTGTAAACGTTCTAACTAAGCCTCCCTTGGGGCCCCACTCCCGCCCGGGCAGGACTGCCTTGCTTCCATCTCCTGCTTCTGGATCCCTACCTCCTGGCATCTAGTGATACCTAGAGAAATGTTTGGAAATAAAATTAAGTAAACGACTCTGTCCCCTCATGTGACAAGTAACCCTGTAGGTGAGTCCAGGACAAAGTTAAAAGAATGGAGAATTCAGCATTTCATCACAAATGGGTATTATGCCTTCATTTTTTGAGAAATAGTGCTCCAGGTCATTCTGGTAAAGGGAACTACACTCTCAATACAGATTTACAAACTTACACACAGGTGGAGTCCGTTTTTTATTGAAAAAGTCTCCTGTTTTACTTATGGTAATTTTAAAACATTAGATTTTTAATTGTTGACAGTTTATTGCTGAAATTATGTTTGGCGATATGCTGTCAAATACTCTGAGATGGTTATGTTCTTGTCAGGATCCCAGTGATTCTTTTTAACCCGTTTTCTCCTTTATGCCCGTGTTACAGTTCACCAGAGCAAGGAGAGGGGGCACTGGGCTTTGACTAAAACCCGTCTCCTAAAGGTTGTGATTAGTGTGTAGGAAAGACTGGCGGTTGGAAAAACTTCCACAGCCTCCACCCCGACCAAGGTTGTGCTGTGCTCTTCAGCCTCTTCTGGCCTTGGGAAGTGAGGGAGCAATCAGATTCTCTACTTTGGGTCTTACTTCTCTCTCTGCCATTTACCATCGAGTCACTGTAAATTCACACGACTTCACACATTTTCTCTGCGTTTGATTATTTATTTATTTATTTATTTATTTATTTATTTTCTGCATTTGATTATTTAATGAAAGACACCATTACCTCAGATGCAGTGAAAGACCCAGATATAGAAATGACACTTATTTTAACAAACCTCAGGAGCCTGTGTAAGACTTTTCTGTTCAGAGAGTACGTTTAATATTGGGGAAGATTCATGGGACGCCTGATAAAATAATTTCATAGACTTGTTCAGAAAAGTGGTGAGGTTCTTTACTTGCATGAATTGGTTATTTTTCTTTGAAAATTCTTTACTTCACAAAAATAACTTTTACCTGAAAAATCTTAAAAGCTTTTTTTTTTTAAGAAACTGAGGCAGTTCTTACCAATGTCCGGTAGGCCTGTAGACTTGTTGGCAAAGGTGTGAATGGTGAATGGAACCTAGGCTTTCTCCCTCCCTCTTCTCTCTGTCCTCCCTTCTTTTATATTAACCATTTTCAGGCTTCCATGGGATGTGTAGTTGGGCAGGGAGTGTGCTGTAGCACAAGCAAATAGTGCACATACATGCTCGACGGATGTTGAGATTTTGGCTTATCTAGTACTGTTTAGCTCGTATGCTTCAGTAATCAATTTTTAAAATACAGACTCTAGCTAAACATATTTTAACTCTTTGCATGATAAAATACCTTGGGAGGATGTACCATGATCTTTATGGCAGAGATACTGTCTTTAAGACATGCTTGACAGGAAATCACAAAGAGAAAAATCTTGAGTCATTGGGTCTTATAGAACGGAAGCATACATTTTAAATATACAACCATGTCCCTTTCCTGTATATGTTGATCTTTGAATTGTTAACGGGTTTTTTGTTGCTGTTCTTTCTTCTATAATGTTGTTAGAAGACTTCGAGCCTCTGGGTATTGGGCTTTAAATTGAATTTTCTTACATAGAAAAAAAATGCTTTGGGTGTTAGGTCCTAACGAAAACCAGGTCCTTCCTTATGAAGATTGAATTCGAGCCTGTCTTGTTTCAGTGCCGCGGCTGTACCTCATCTAAGTGATCACATACATACTTACTGCGGTCACGGATTCATCTTCATGTCCACTGCCACCTTGAAGGCTCTTGTCAGAAGCTCCTGATGAGAGGGTATAGCAGTAGGGACGATGATGGCATGCGAGACCCTTTTGTTCATTCTCTTGGTCATGGCTCTGCACGGACCCCGAAGGCTTTGGAGTCTGTGTGGGAAGAAGCGCCTGTGTGTTGCCATGATAATGACACTGTTTTGGTTGCTCACTCCGTGGTTAAAGCCCCCTAGCTCTGTAGTCATTACCAGCTAACTGTTAGGAAACCGAGAACTAAGTAATCAATTGCCATTTGTCCTTGAAGAAAAAATAACGATGTGATTTGAAGAAAGGTTTTATATGATAATTTCAGTCTTCACCTGTCATCCTCATCTGACCCATTTACTGTGGAGGGCTCTCTGAGACACACTGCTGTGAAATCGAGAAAAATCGCATATTGTTTTGGTGAGTCCCATTGGAGACAGACCTCTTAAGGAGGTGACGGAAGCTGCGGAGAGGACTGTGGCTTTGCAGTGGGACTAAGCCGGGGTGGACTCCGAGGCTTGCCACGTTGGACTCCATGTCCATGGGCTAGTCACTTAACCTTGTGGAGTGTTGTGGGCATGTGAATCCTCTGGCATAGTCCCTGGCACGAAAGAGGTGCTTAATAAATATTGTTCCTCTTCTCCTGTCTGTGAAACTGGTGCATTTCCCTCTCATGGGAAGGCGTCTACAGTCTCAGGTTCCCATGGGCTCCTACTTCAGTGCCACGGAGCATGCGGTGGGGCGCTCGGGGAGAGCGGAGCGTAGGCTGCTTGTACAGTCATGCCGTGTGTGTGTGTGGGGGGGGGTGTGTGTGGGTGTGCGCGCGCGCGCATGTGTGCCAGGGTGGGGAGTACCATCTACTGCGGGTTCCAAGTAACACTCTTCCTTTCCTGGCAGGTGCCTGAGATCATCAGCTCCATCCGCCAGGCCGGGAAGATTGCCCGGCAGGAGGAGCTCCATTGCCCGTCCGAGTTTGATGACACATTTGCCAAGAAGTTTGAGGTGCTCTTCTGTGGCCGCGTGACAGTGGCTCACAAGAAGGCCCCTCCGGCCCTGATCGACGAGTGCATTGAGAAGTTCAACCACGTCAGTTGCAGCAGGAAAGCCGAATTTAACTTGGTCTCCCAGAATTCTGAAACCCCAAATCCCGCGGGAGGCCTCTCCTTCACGGAGAAGTTCCGGTCTGTGCTCCAGCCAGTGGGGAACGGCGAGCAGGGCCGGAGGCCCATGCGCAAATCCTTCTCCCAGCCTGGGCTGCGCTCGTTGGCCTTTAAGAAGGAGTTTCAAGATGGAAGCCTTCGAAGTAGTAGTTTTTTCAGCTCCTTTGAGGAAAACGACATTGAGAACCACCTCATTAGTGGACACAATATTGTGCAGCCGACAGATATTGAGGAAAATCGAACTATGCTCTTCACGGTAAAATATCATCAAGCCCCAGGCTCATCCCCAGTGTGAGATCCATGTTCAACCTGCTTTATTGAGCAAGGATTCGTAGCAAATTGCTTTTGAATTTATGTGTGAATCTGTGTATTTTTATTGTGAATAATCCTTTTCTCAGGATAAAATCCTTACTTTAGCCCTAGGCCTTTAAAATCATCGTTGGAAACCTAAAGAGAATCCATCTTCTATCCTTGTTTGTTTTTATCTCTACCACCCCCCCCTTAGTTGAAAGAGACCTTTTCAGTGGAAGCAACGGGGCACAGATGTAAAAGAGGCCCCCAAAAGGATTTTTTAAAGTATATTAATTTCAAGTAATATATTTCGACAGAATCTTTTAGTTCGAAAATACTCCCTCTTTACTGTTTCTATTAATTTATTATAAAACATTTATCCTTTGTTAATCAGGATAATTGGATTTGGGGATAAGATGGTATTTGAAATTTATACCCAAAGTGAAATAATAGTTTAGCCAACTGTTACTCCCTTTTTTCTGGAAGAGGTTTGGTGAACTGATAGCCAAGTGCCAGAAAAGGAATGGACAGGGAAGCTGTCCTTGGCACTTGGGGTTCCTGGGTTTTGTGCTACTCTGGGCTCCTTTGAATGGGCCTGCCCGGGGCCTTGCCAGCAGTGAGCTGGCCTCTGATGATCTAGGGAACTTCTAGAATGTCATGACTGGTATTCTAGAGAGAGCAGAATTACCATGAGTATAATGTTCTTGTGCCTAACTCAGAGCAGTGAGGTGGCCGACGGGTAAGGAAGCTGCTACTTAGGTTAAGGCCATGTTGGATGTAAGCAGGTTTAAGATGAAGATGATGTGTCAGTGGGTAAATAGGGCTTTTTCTTCCTCTTTTCGTCATGTACTGAAAAGAATGCTAAGCACTCAGGCTTGTGCTTTAGTCTGTGATGTATATTTAAAAAGAAAAAACTCTTGGTGTTATTGTGAAAGCTGCTCGGCACATGTATGTTCAAGTACTTGGTGTGTGACTGCTGTGTACAGGGTTCCTTGCAACATGCTAGTAATAACAGCGGTGAACAAGACAGCCCTGGTCTCTGCCCACGCCGAATTTAGATTCCAGTAAGGGGGATTGACAACTGAGTGTTCAAGTAATTGTCTCATTACAGTTGTGCTCAGTGCCACAAAGGAGAAGTAGAGGATGTTGTGAGAACATCTGGGGATTCCGGGAAGGCTTCTAGGAGGAAGTGATTTTCGTTGAGCAGAGGTTCAGTGTGGCCAACTAGATATTCTTCTAGTTGGAGTATCCTGGGTTCAGGGAGCAGCAAGTGAAAGGCTCTGAGGGAGGGACGGGCTGTTGCAACACAGTCCTCTGCTAGAATGGAGTTCATTACGCTGACTCAAGGCTGTAAGACAGTGTTAACTATGCTAATGCTCTAACTTTAAGAAGTCAGGTAAGTAGTATTTGAATGCCTAACACGTAGTTAGGTACTCAACAAATGGTAGGTTATTTTAATAATTTTAAAAGACTTTTCAGTGAAACAGTTAATAGAAAGTGTTTGGAAGTTTCAAAAGGAGAGCTTTTGTTTTCTGGAAGCTTTACTTTTTATAGAAATGTCACTTCCTTATAAAGGGGAGATGTGGTATCTGTGGTTTCGTTGTTAAGTTTTGGATATTTGGTTCTTTGATCTCAAAGAAGCCTGCTGTCTTATGTGGGTGAACGTATTAGCAGGTGTCTTGTGCTACGAAATCTGTAGGGTAAACTGAAGCCTCTGGAGGTGATTGTCCACATTGAAATTGTCAGAATCATATAGCAGCTTGTCCCTTTTAGTCTATATTTTCATAGGTCACAGAATGAGAATGTATAATGAAATTGAATTCAACTTTCATGAAAAACTAGTTTCTTTTTTTGTCTTTTAAGATTGGCCAATCTGAAGTTTACCTCATCAGTCCTGACACCAAAAAAATAGCATTGGAGAAAAATTTTAAGGAGATATCCTTTTGCTCTCAGGTAAATGGAGCTGGGTTTTTGCCTCATTTGCATTTGCATTTTTAATGAATTCTTCTATCTGTCATTCAACAGAAGTGCTAAACGTCACAAAATGTATGCCTTCTAGGTATACTTGATTTGTGATCCTGGCATTTCTCCTTTGATTTGGTATATTAAGGCAAAATATACGTATAATTTTGAAATTAAGTTCGCTATTAGCAATAGTAATCTACTGGAGAAAATAGATGTACTTTTCTTTTTTCAGTTATTGGTGGTAATGTTCTGTAGTCACAAATTCCAGATGTATATGCGTGGGTCTGCGTGCATGTCTTATTTATACATTCATACATACACACAAATATTTTTAAATGCTCATTTCTACTTTATAAAAATTCTTAACTTCTTTTTGGGTACGAGTCGTTATTCTTTCTTAAAATAGTGAATCTCTTTAAGGATGCTTTCCTCGTCTACTTGAGTTCTTTCTTGATAATCTCCCAAGGTGTGTTTCATAGAGAGATTTTGGAGAATCAATTATAGTGAGTTATGTCAGTTGTACTCAGGGTCTTCCTAGCAAATAGGAGATCACTTAAAGTTATTGTTTGGCTGTATTTTAAAACTCTGACTTCTTACTTCCTCGCTTCCATTTTCTCATAATTAATAAGATGTAATGAAAATCTCATTGCTGATTTATAACATGATTCTACATTTAAAAAAAAAATCCCTTTTGAATCCATTTCCCAAAATGTGAAAATAAAGAATGCTTCTTTCATAGTTGACTAGGGAACCATTTACAAAATAAATTTTTCCAAATCCTATTCCCTGGAGAACGAATGTCTAGCAGGTGCTAACCTTGCTGTGAGAACATGGATTGAGATGCCAGAATATGTCAGTCATTGCCCATTTATTGGAAAATGTTCAACCTGAAAGTGAGATGATCCACGGAATTTAATCTCGATTTGCTGCTATTTCTATTGAAATGTTAATGTTTAAGGTTTGCTTTTTCATGTAACAGTTTATTCTTTCCTGAAGGGTGCAGCTTACACAAGTGTACATGAGGACTTGAATTTCAAGTTATTGGCACTCGTATCTCTGCATGCTGGTGCTTTCTGGAGGCGCTCACGTATTAATATTTATGGGCTGTGTCTTATCTGCATCACGGTGCCTCTTAGCTGATACTTCTAAGACAAGTTTACATATTTACTGAGAAGAGTTCTTAGGAAACTATGGTGTGCAGCCTTAGCCTTAATAGCTTACATTTAAAAGCTTCTGTGCTCTTTGTGTGTATAATTCTTGACTCATCCTTCATACCAGTATACTTCAGGACTTACCTGTTTGTTCTTGTAGGAGAGTACAAGGTTTTAAATCTTTTTTTTTAAACCTTTGTGTCTATGTTTGCGTGTGTGTGTGCATGTGTGTTCATAGTTGTGTTTCTTCAATAACCTTTTGTCTATTTTGATTTTCAAAGTAATTTTTTTTAAAGATTTTATTTATTTATTTGACAGAGAGAGACACAGGGAGAGGGAACACAAGCAGGGGGAGTGGGAGAGGGAGAAGCAGGCTTCCTGCCGAGCAGGGAGCCCCATGTAGGGCTCGATCCCAGGACCCTGGGATCATGACCTGAGCCGAAGGCGGATGATTAACGACTGAGCCACCCAGGCGCCCCAGTAATTCTTTATTCTTTAGTACATAGGAAAAGTTCTCATTTTTCTGTGTCCACTTTTCTGTACTTCTTTTTATTACTAAAATGAACATTAAAAATTCTCCTTTTCAGTTCTTATGGGGTAATCAGAATATTTTAGCAGAATGACATTAATCTTCATATTTGAGAGATGTTTTTAGATTTTTAAAATATCTGAGAAAATCGTGTAGAACCACAAAAGACCCCAAAAAGCCAAAGCAATCCTGAGAACAACAAAACTGGAGGTATCACAATCCCAGATTTCAATATATACTACAAAGTTGTAGTAATCAAAACAGTATGGTACTGGCACAAAAATAGACACATGTATCAGTGAAACAGAATAACCCAGAAATAAACCCACGATTGTATGGTCAATTAATCTATGACAAAGGAGGCAGGAATATACAATGGGGAGAAGACCATCTCTTCAACAGTGGCCCTGGGAAAACTGGACAGCTACATAAAAGAATGACACTGGACCACTTGCTTATACTGTACACAGATAAAAATTCAAAATGGATTCAAGTCCTAAATGTGTGAAACATGAAACCATAAAACTCCTTGAAGAAAGCATAGGCAGTAACTTTTGACATTGGCTGTTGCAGAATTTTCCAGATATCTCCTCAGGCAAGAGAAACAGCCAGAATAAACTATTGGGATTAAAACAAAATAAAAAGCTTTTGCAGAGAAGGAAACCAACAACAAAATTAAAAAGCAGCTTACTGAGTGAGAAAAGATATGTGCAAATGATATACCCCATGAGGAGTTAATATCCAAAATAGGTAAAGAACTTACACAACTCAACACCAAAAAACCAAATAATCTAATTAAAAAATGGGCAGTGGACCTGAATAGACATTTTTCCAAAGAAGTCATGCAGATGGCCAAGAGAACACATGGAAAGATGCTCAACATCACTTATCATCAGGGAAATACAAATCAAAATCACAGTGAGCTTTGCTGGCAAGGATGTGGAGAAAAAGGAACCCTTGGTGCACTGCTGGTGGGGATGCAAACCGGAGCAGGCACTGTGGAGAACAGCATGGAGGTTCCTCAAAACATTAAAAATAGAACTACCATATGATCCGGTAATTCCACTACTGGCTATTTACCCAAAGAAAGCAAAAGCACTAATTCAAAAAGATATATGCATCCGTGTTTTTACTGCAGCATTATTTGCAATAGCTAAGATATGGAAGAAATCCAAGTGTCCATAAAGGAATGGCTGAGGAAGATGTGGTGTGTATATATACCCAATGGAATATTACTCAGCCATCAAAAGGATGGAGATCTTGCCTTTTGGGACAACATGGATCGACCTAGAGGGCATTATGCTAAGTGAAATAAGTTCAAGAAAGATGAAGAAAAAGCAGAAATAGACCCAAATAGAGAACAAACCTGACAGTTGCCAGAGGGGAGAGGGGTGGGAGGTGTGCAGGCTTCCAGGTATGGAATGCCCAAGTCACAGGGATGAACGGTCACAGTGCTGGGAATACGGTCAGTGGTATTGTAATGGCGTTGCTTGGTGGTAGATGGGAGCTACACTCGGGGTGAGCATGGCATGGCATAATGTAACAGACTTGTCAGATTACCATGTTGTACATCTGAAACTCATGTAACATTCAGTATCAACTGAACCTTAGAAAAATCTGGGAAATAATTTTAGAGTGTTCTAGAAGACCGTGCTGCCTAAGTCTTGTTGCCTTCTGACACTTGTGACTCGGATATACCGCTCAACACTCCTTCCTCTCTTCCCCGCCTTCAATAGGGTATCAGACATGTGGACCACTTTGGGTTTATCTGCCGAGAGTCTTCAGGGGGCGGAGGCTTTCATTTCGTCTGTTACGTGTTTCAGTGCACCAATGAAGCTCTGGTAAGTGAGACTAAGCAGCTCTTACCTGGAAAACATACTTACATGCAATGTGAACCTCACTGATTTTTCTTTCCTTCGCAAACCATAGAGCTTCATCGACGTGTCATTATTTGGCTTTAATTATCTGCCATGACTATTTAATAACTAGCTAGTACACATGCAAGCCTTATTTGGGTATGTGTCCTCCATTTTCATTGTTTTTGAGGACCTGCTCCCATTTACCCTTGGCCTAGCATTAAAATATGTCATTTTGGACGTATGATCCAGAGGAGTTGGCTTTTTCATGAGTATTGAATTTTTTATTTTTTACCTTTTCTCCTTTACAAGCTTTGAGCATCTAGGTAGTGTTTCTCAGACTGTAATCCTAGCAGTTATTATGATTATTTCTGTCTATCGGTGATTAATAGCCCACCCCACCCCCCGCCAAATCTTAAAATGCTAAGTCTTTGCAGAGTCCTGAAATCTCAGCCCCACTCGTCTTAAATGGGCGTTTTGCTGGCTGCCCTGTGTCTTCTCTCTGATCAGGTTGATGAAATCATGATGACCCTGAAGCAGGCGTTCACTGTGGCTGCCGTGCAGCAGACAGCTAAGGCACCTGCCCAGCTGTGTGAGGGCTGCCCCCTGCAGGGCCTGCACAAGCTCTGTGAGCGGATAGAGGGTGAGTAGCGGCCCCCCTCCAGGAAAACCGAGGCACTCTGCGTTCCTTGAGAGGCTCCTGTTAGTCACAGGGATCACAGGTGAACTTCCAGCATGTGGTGGGGGGGGGGTGTCTTCTGTATCTTGCCAAGCTGTTGTGCTAGGTGCTCAGGGTTTGAAGATGAACTGCCATGCCCCCGTCTACCATCGCCACTCTAAGGGTCGTGGAGTAGAGAAATAGAAACTACAGATACAGCTGCCTAGCATTTATCCAGGTTGTGAGTGGTCAGGTCAGCCCGGTTGGTTACTGTGAAGAGATCTGCTAAGGTCAGAGCTGCAGAATCTCCACCAGGTGTTTCAGGTCCAAGGTCATCGGTAACCCCTGCCAGAACAGTGCTCACGGAGTGAAGGGGGCAGAAGACAGGTTGCAGCTGAGTCACAGGGAAAGAGTAAAAGGGACTGAGAGTCGACTATAGTGTCTAGAAATGTGGTGTAGGGAGAAACCGCGGTAAATGTGATCATTTGCAGCTACTGTTTGTTGAGCACTTAAGATGTACTAGGCACTGTGCTAGGTGCTTTCACATGTGAGAGGAAAGAGGATTGTTTATTTGTATACTTTAGGGATAAGTACATCGAGGACTCGTGAAGTCTAGGGGGAAACTAGTGAGTGCACTAGTGAGTGCAGGAGTCTGCCCGTGTGGGAAAGCCTTCCCTGTTACCAGCCCTCAGAGCCGCCCCCCAGGAGAAGGCCGTGCTGGGGGAAGAGCCAGCTGACCCAGCTTTGCACAGCTGGGGAGGTTTGAGCAAATCCAGAGCCACAGGGCCCCGGTGGGTCAGAATAGAAAGGAGGCGATCCCTCCCGAACGAGGGTGGGGAATCTTGTTCAGGTGGGAGGAGAGATGCTCCATTTCTGGGCCTGCAGGGGAGGCGGGGCGTGAGAGGAAGAGAACCAGGGTAGACCCGCCATGATGATCCTCTGAGGGAACCCGACATTGAAGGGGTTCATTCCTCTCTCTTTTTGGTTTTACATTTTTTTTCCATTTATAGGAGGATTTCTAAAATGTGTGTGATTCTGAGGGGGGGTCACAGGATTTAAACAACCTATGTTATTGTAAAAAACAAACAAACAAAAACCAAAAAAAACCCAAACCAGATTTGATCATTTCCCATGTCCCTAGAATACTTTTTAAGATTTTATTTATTTGAGAGAGAGAGAGAGAGAGAGCACGAGAGGGAAGAGGGTCAGAGGGAGAAGCAGACTCCCTGCCGAGCAGGGAGCCCGATGCGGGACTCGATCCCGGGACTCCAGGATCATGACCTGAGCCGAAGGCAGTCGCTTAGCCGACCGAGCCACCCAGGCGCCCGCATGTCCCTAGAATACTTTTAATAAGCACTACTTGGGTCGAGAAAAACTCTATACTATTTAGATTTCATTTCCCTTTTTTTCATAATTGTTGTAAAAGTACACATCATATAAAATTGACCATCTTAACCTTTTTAAAGTGGACAGTTCGAGTGACGTGAAGTACCTTCACGTTGTTTTGAGGCCACCACCGCCATCTCTGGAGCTTTGTAATCTTTCCAGACTAAAAGTCATTAAGCTGTTAACTCTCCAGGCCCCCTGCCCCGGCCCCTGGCAGCTACCATTCTGCTTCTGTCTCTGTGAGCGTGACGGGCTCCAGGTACCTCATCTAAGTGGAATCATACAGCTTTTGTCCTTTTGTGACTGGCTTATTTAGCGTAACATCTCCTAGGTTTATTCCTGTTGTAGCATGAATTTCATTCTGTCTTAAGGCTGTCTACTATCCCCTTATGTGTCTGTACCACAGTGTCTAGTCATCTGTCCATAGACATTTGAATTGTTTTCACCTTTTGGCTGTTGCGAATAATGTTGCTGTAAAGTTGGTGTACAGTATCTCTTCATGTTCCTGTTTTCAGTTCTTTTGGGAATATACGCAGAGGTAGAATTGCTGGATCGTATGGTAATTACGTGTTAAATTTTTTGAGGGACTGCCATTATATTTTCTACAGTGGCTACACCATTTTACATTCCCATTAGCAGTGCACAAGTGTTCCATTTCTCCACATCCTGACCAACACGTGTTACTTTCTCTCTTCCGTTTTTTTTTTTTTAATGATAACCATCCTAATGGGTGTGCAGTGGTATCTGATTTCCCTTTTTAAATGAGCTAAATTGACAATTATTACCTTAAGTTTCAAAAGCTCATTTGCTGGCATTATAGGTGCTCTTTAAAATGAATCAAGATGATTAATATTTTCAACTGTGCTTCCCTAGTTGTTACTATTTGCTGACATTATACAGAATATAGCTGGAAAGGAGAAAAGTTGAGCCTTACCTAGAGATCTCATCTGAAAGGATCACTAACCCTTCCCTTAGTGGTTGTCAAGATAAGGGAAACGATGACAGAAATGTCCCTTAAGAGCTTATTAAGAAGCCAATGACAATGTTGACCTTGAAGATAAAGCAGACTGTGATCTGCAGGACTGGAAGGATTCCAGAGTTCTACTTGATAAATCTTTCTGTGGTCTGGCTTAGCTTTCAGAAAGTGAGAGCTGAAAAGTTCAGTCAGGGTAGGGATTTTGCTGCTGTATTTTGGAATTATTATTTAATTCGTCTTTTTACCTGGTAAAACCCAAGCAATGCAGAAAGCTCTGCTAATGTAGAAACATTCTTGATAGCACAACTAGAAGACTGGTGTTTTGCCTGCCTGATGGGAATCATTTCTTAAGTATTAAGAGGGCACAGTATTACAGGCATCCATAGTAGGGGAGATGTGTCCTTTGTTGGGGTGATGCTAGTTTTACGAACACTTTGAGGCCCTTGCTCTTTGCTATAGTGCATTCCTCATAAGTAGAGTGAAGCGGTTTATGAAAGCTCATTGTATGTTCCTGTAAGAATAGCTATAATAGGAAGTCAGGCTCTGGCCAGGATCTCCATACACTGGGGAGAGGACCAGTGACACGGCCACAGAAAGGAAGACTTAAAGACTGCTTTCTTAATCAATTGATATAGTCGGGTTATGCCCCAGCATTTATAAAAGAGTACATACACTCTACCCACCGATCATGTTGGACACTCCACTCACAACATGTAAGACGTGCAGCTTTGCTTGGGTCTGAATTTGAACTCTGAGCAACTCCTCCAGTGCTTTATTTAGCATTTTGCTTATTTTAAAGTTGAGCAGAGCATTTTGGGAATTACTAGAATGAATTATATGTTCATTCTAAAAAGGAAGAAAGTTGAATTGAGTTTTCCTTTTGCTAAGTAAATTTGCCTCTGGCAGAGCACAGCCGTTCATCAGAGCTCCCTTAGTAAGAGCCTTTTCTGCACTAGCGGTGTGAAGGTGACCTCACTAACAACCGGGCTAAAGGGGTTGTAGTTCTGGAACGCCCTTCACTCTGGCTACCTTTTTCTCTGTTGTTCCTTGCATCCCTTCCCCCTGTAAAGCCTTTTGGCATCACGTGGGGGGTGCCACCTTCTTCCTGCAGAAACCAGCCAGCAGTGGCTGATGTTGCTGAGAAGCCACATGGAAGGTTCACTGTAAACATGGAGTGGAGAGCCAGGCATGGGGGCCTGGGGGGTGGGGTCAGAAACCTCACCTCCTGTTTGAGGTGGGGCAGCAGGGACCTCCTGAGGTGAGGCATCCTGACGGCAAGGATAAAACTCGTCAAAGAATCTCTTCATACCCGCTGAATATGAAGAGTAGTCTGTATTGTGGCCTGATTGTTAGAGGTATATAATTAGTCTGTTGTGTAATTATTCTATTATACTGTTAGTCTGTTGTGTAATTGGTCAAACTTTTCTTAGAGCTTGGGGGTTCTCTCCACATGTGAGTGTCTCGTCAAATAATACATGTATGTCCAAAATAGGATGCTTATGACATTGTGTCAGAGACCTGCGGAGAGGCCTTTTGGTTAATGATGACTGTTCATTTTACTCGTAAATTTAAACACTGTTTTGATTCAACATTTAAGTAGTTAGTGCAGTAAAACCATCTCTCTCTTTCCCTGGCTTGTATGACCTGCCAGCTTGCTGGAAGAGTCCCTGAATTGCGTTCTGACAAAACCCATCTGTCTTTTCTGTACTTCATCCACCTCTGCATTCACTTTAGGACTGAAGCCACCTGTAGGTCAGGCGACTTGACTCCCTGGGCAAAGGGAGGCAGTGGAGAGTTCATGAGCCGTCTGCGGAGGTAAACGGACATGGTTTAGAGCCTAACTCTGTCCCTTACTTAGCCGATGACCTCGGACAAAATGCTGGACTTTGCCTGTGTCTCAGTTTCTTCATTTATACATTGGAATTACTAAAAATGGTGCCCACTCAGGGATTGTTTTGAGGATTGAGATGATGCACATAGTGGCATAGCAATCACTTCAGAAGTGTTGGCTTTTATTTTTATAGGATTTTCTTGGCAAAAACTAAGGGGGGGGTGCTGCTGGGAGAAGGGACATCCCGGAAGCTGAGATAGCCCCTGCAGTTTGAGGAGGGGCGCAGCTTCCAGCAGAGCTGTGAGCAGGGTGGCGGCTCTGCGTCCAGCCGCCCTGGGGTGGGGATGGGGGTGGGGAGGCAGCGGCTCTGTGGCAGGCTTGGCTGCTGATCGGCCTCCTGACTTTTGACAAGTCACCTGGCTTCTCTAGACCTCAGCAAACACCTGTGTAAAAACAGAGGCTTGATTTCCAAGTCCTGGTTCCAGACTTCAGAGGTGTCCCCTCCTGGCCATCCTTAAGCCGTGTAGATGTATTCACAGTGTCCTCCGGGACAGAGCCTTGGCCAAGCACCTGCCCAGCCGCCCAGCCTCCTCAGCTGGGGGGCGGGGGATGGGGAGGGAGCTGCAGCAGGTGGGTGAGGTGTGGATTGCCTTTGGAATAAAAGTACTCAGCGTCGGCAGTTTTCCCACGGTAAGCAGTTTTCCCACGGTAGTTCGGTCAGCAAATCCTTTTCATTCTAAATCTTCTCAGCATGTGTAACATTTATCTCCAGCACCAAGAAAAGGCAAAGCAGGATCTAAGCCATATTTATGTGGAGAAACAATTTTCCGGAGTATCAGCTTCTCATTGGCACTAAGATTGTGACTTTCTAACTTTTCCTCGCAATCCTCTGTAATGGTAATTAGATGGGCTTAAGACTGTTAATGCAAGTGGTGATAAAACGGAGCTTGTTAGTGACATGAATCAGTTTTATGCGGAGGAGTCTACTGTGGAAGAGAAACATGTTTCAAATGGAGCAGTAGTTGTTTTTCCTTGAGTTGTCAAGTTTATATATAAATACTCATGAGAATCTATTTTCTGAGGACAGCGTTCCATTGTATGAGGTGTTCTAACACGGAGTGGTGGAGAAAAGAAAAATTCGGAACTGCGCAGACCTGAGGTGGGGCCCAGTATGGTGGTCTTTGGAGATCACATCAGCTTTCTGGGTCTCGGTTTCCTTAACTGCAAAATGGGGATAACTGGAGCATCCTCATTGACTGTTCTCAGTATTAAATGAGGCAGGCCTAATGTTTAAGATCGTGCCTGGCGAATGAGGGCTGGACTAAAACATGTTGTCATCATCACCATCGTGAACGATATTACTGAGTAGAATGTCCGGAAAACTTCAGAAGCCTGGAGTAAGTGGGTAAGGACGTAAAAAAGCACGAGTACGGAAGTTTTACTGCCTTGTAACTTCTCCATAGAGTGTTTTCCTGTCTCTTTTTTTCTTAATAGGAATGAATTCTTCCAAAACCAAACTAGAACTCCAGAAGCACCTGACGACATTAACTAATCAGGAGCAAGCAACTATTTTTGAAGAGGTTCAGGTAAAGTACGAGTTTCTAATTGCTAGACTGAAAGCAGAGCTAAGCAGCTTACCTGTGAGATGGTACGTATGAAAAATAGCAAACCAGAGCTGCCACAGCTCAGAGGAAGTGGCCCCGAGTTCCTCTTGGTTTAGGCTTAGCAGCCCTGGGCAGGGGCCAGGTCAGACGGCAGTTTCCCACCAGGTCTTGGTTTTCACGGTAAACGCGACTAACCCAGAAAACTCCTGCCTTAAAAAAATTTTGGAATGAGCGAAAGGAATCGCACAGTGGAAAGAGCCTTCAGCCCAGGAGACAGAAGACGTGGACTGTGGTCCCCGAGCACTCCTCTGCTCCACGGGAAGCTTCTGCCAGCCCCTTCCTGCTCGGGGTCCCAGCCCCAAAGTGTGGCAGTGGGCAGAGACAGCATTTCGTACGTGAACTTGGTCATTGGTGGTTCCTGCCTTCTTCCTCAGTGTTGGAAAGGGATGGAGATGATGTTATTTACTTAGAACTGTGTGTCAAACCTAAACATAAAAACAAAATACAAAACCAAAGCCAGGCTCGTCGGTGTTCTGGAAACTCGCTCTTGTCCTTGCATGTAGATGCCGCGTAGCTCGGGGAAACCACGCTGCGTGTGCTGGAATGCCTGTTCTGTGTTCATTATGAATCTTTAATGAGCTCATCACAGATTTCATGTCCGCTTCAGCCGAGGGGCACTTTCTAATGTTTCCTGGCACTTTTGTAGGGAGGAAAGCACATCAGGACAAAGAATAAATACCTTTTTTTGCGGGGAGGAGAGCGACAGGGGTCCTGCAGAGGAGTCTATTAAGCAAATCAAGAGGGCTGGCAGCTCTGGATGGGGAGTTCTCTCCGCCTCCTCAGTGGGTGCAGGACTGTACACGCAGGCCCGTGATCCATTTTCATTTTCTGGCAGGAGTGACACATGTTCGGAGAAGAAAAGCATGGGAAGGTTTTTCACTTTCATAAGTAGCTTAGAATGTAATTTTCACAATTTCCAGTTGCCTTTACATTTTCTTGTTTTCTTCTGAATCAACCTGAGACAGGCTACTTTGTTTTTTCTCGAAGGATCTTTAGAGTTCTGAGGACACAGTACTCAGAAAAACTTAGTGTGATTTGTACTTGGAATTCATAAATGGATAGGCGGTTTGCTTCTGACTGTTAATGCATTTACCATGGAGGCTGGGGCCTTTTTCCATGATGCCGGTCCACTTGCTAGTCAAGTGTTATCAAGCCACTTTGGGGAACATCTTTGCGGCAAGCTTAGGAGATGCACATTCTTCCCCTAATGTGCATTTTATTTAGACAGCACTGTGTAGCCATCCCAAAACAGTGCAGTGACTCAGCATAGGTAATAAAGTGTTGTTCAGCAATGAGAAATTCCTAATGGATGTGATTCTAAGATTCTCTTTGATCTAAAATTTTAGATATCCAGTGCATTATGGAAAAGAGACTTTAGAGAAAAATGATGACACAGGTTTTTGTTTGTTTTTGTTTTTAAGTGCATGCAGTTAATATCTTGGGGCCCCTATGTGTTGTTCTAGAAGGCTCTATAACTCAGTTGGCTTAAAGACCAAAGGGAAGGGACACTGGGTGTGAAAAGCCAGCTCTTTGTCCTCCATCATCGTAAGTGCGGCTCTTCCTTTTAAATGATAAAATTTGACATGGAACTCTTCTTCTAACGGCTTGAGGGTTTCATTGAATTATTTTCAATGACCATTCTTGGTTCTTATGAAACATTTTATAAACCAAGTTTCTTTCTAGGTAGCAGCACCTGCTAATGTGTTTGAAAATCATACCTTTCAAAAAGATCGTAAAGAAAAAGATGGCTTTGCAGTGTCAGGAGCCCTTTTGTAAACAGAAAGGTTAAGACGTTCCTTTGTACAGTTTTCCTGGAGGGTAATTTATTTCTGAAGAACTCTCCAAGGGTATATCTTCATAAGACAAATGTAATTACGACTGAAATTAATGGTACATGATTACTTAGTTAAAGCATACATAATCAGGGTTTTTGTAAATAAATGCTTAATGCAGAGAAAGAAGGGCAGACCACACAGGACATGAAGAACAGAAATCTGTAATGGCCGTGTACGTGTCACTGGAGGTTGTCGCTGCCACGTGCGGGCTGACTTTGAGCACACTGAGAGAACTTGGTGCCAGATGAGCCTGGGGACCTGTTAACCCTTTTGTCAGGGGACTCCTGACACTTCAGAGCCACTGTCTAATTGATGACCTTAGGAAACACAATCTTCAAGCATATCTCACTGTGCAGCTGTGCAGGCGGCCCACGGGGTCTGGTGGTCGGTCCCCTTTGGTGCTTTCCAGCCCAAGTAGGGCTAGTAAAGGAAATGCCTCCAAACTCCAACTCTCTTCTTCAGAATGAGAGTATTTCAGGGAATGGCTGAATTAATACTGAGTGGATAAATCAAGTCGATCTGTACTCAGTGGGGGTCAATAATGATTAAAGAACATGATTTTTCACGAGTTTTAAAGATTAATAGAGGAGCTGTTTTTCCCTCCGCTTTTTGAAGAATATCAACTTAGCTGGATTCTCCATGGCTTTAAAATTAATTCCTATAAGATTTGATTATAACGTTATAAAAAGATGTTAGGAAGTAGTGTCCAAGTGAGCATTGCCATTTTAAGTACTCCGAAGACCGTAGATTCCAGCATTCCGGTATTCATCACTCAGCGTTGGAAATTTAGTTTCCAGTCACTCTTACATCCAATTCGTAGGCCTTCTCCTAGAAGTCAAGAAGCATGTGGCAGAACTGGCTTTGTTACCTTTAACAGGCAATCAATTGTTTTGTATTTGTTTAAATGAAATATAACAGGAGAAAAGCACACAAATCAGTGGTGTGAGTGTTTCAGTGAATTTTTATGAGTATTCATCTTATAAAAAGATGAATGGCTGGCTGCCAGCATGAAGATTAAGACATAGAGCATTTCCAGGGGCACCTGGGTGGCTCAGTTGGTTGGGCGACTGCCTTCGGTTCAGGTCATGATCCTGGAGTCCCGGGATCGAGTCCCACATCGGGCTCCCTGCTCAGCGGGGAGTCTGCTTCTCCCTCTGACCCCACCCCATGTATTCTCTCTCTCTCTCATTCTCGCTCTCTCAAATAAATCTTTAAAAAAAAGAAAGAAAGAAATAGAGCATTTCCAGCTCCTCAGAATCTCCCCCCACTACCCCCCACCTCGGTATTGCCGCCAGGGACACACCATCCTGACTTCTGACACTGTAGATGGTTTTTTTTTTTTTTTTTTAAAGATTTTATTTACTTATTTGACAGAGAGAGACAGTGAGAGAGGGAACACAAGCAGGGGGAGTGGGAGAGGGAGAAGCAGGCTCTCTGCTAAGCAGGGAACCCAATGTGGGGCTCGATCCCAGGACCCTGGGATCAAGACCTGAGCCGAAGGCAGACGCTTAGTGACCGAGCCACCCAGGCGCCCCTGACACTGCAGATTGATTTTTTATAAGCAAGTTAATTTTTTTTAAAGATTTTATTTATTTATCTGACAGAGAGATAGAGAGCACAAGTAGGCAGAGTGGCAGGGAGAGGGAGAAGCAGGCTTCCCGCTGAGCAGGGAGCTGGACATGGGGCTAGATCCCAGGACCCCGGGATCATGACCTGAGCCGAAGGCAGCCAGTTAACCGACTGAGCCACCCAGGCACCCCTATAAAAGTTAATTTTTAACTGCAAAGTGATGCTATCCAACTGGATTCCCCATCATTTTCCTCAGACTTGTCTCTCTGACTAATGTGTTTGTAAAATTAAATCACCTGTAGAAAGGAATGAGTTGCAACTGTGGAGGGTGGTGGGACACCTTGTTAATCATTTGAACTCAATAGAAGAGTAGACCCTAGTCACATTTCAGTTATTTTAAGGAAGGAAGGATTTATTTTTTGACCTTGTAGGATATCATGGATGTGGATTTCTGACCTTACTGACTTTCCTCTGTGATGTTTCACGACCTCCCTGATGCATTTCCTCCTTTGCTTCAGTTTCTGATGACTGTGATAGTACATGATGCTCTGTTGTCTCATTTTCTGTCCATCTGGACAACTTCTTTCTTGTATATTTTGAGGAAAAGAAAATGTCTCCTCTTATTACTGCATTTTTAACCTTTTTTGAGACTTTGAAATAAGCAATTGCTTATACACATTTTCTTGTGAGAACAGCCCCAAATATTTAATTAAAGTTATGGAAGAAGGAATGGTTCCAACTCTTAGGTGTCTGTTCAGAGGCAGCCCCTAATTCCTGTCTGTTCCTCTTTCCTAGACTTAAAAAAAAATAGACTTTTTTTTACAGCAGTTTTATGTTTTATAGAAAAAGTGGCTAGAAAATAGAGTCCCCATATAACCTCTCACACCCCAGCCTTACCCTCAGGCCACTTTTCCCTATTATTAATGTCTTAGTGTGGTCCATTTGTTACTATTGGTTAGCGCATATTGATACATTATTAATAACTGAAGTCCATGGTTGACATTAGGTTTAACTTTCAGTGTTGTACGTTCCCTGGGTTCTAACAAATGTATGATGACATGTATCAACCATTATAGGATCAAAGAGAATTGTTTTTTTCACTACCCTAAAAATCCTCTATGCTCCGTCAGTTTATTTCTCCCCTCTCCCCCAAACCCCAGGTCCCCACTGATCTTTTACCATCTCCATAGTTTTGCTTTTTCCAGAATGTCGTACAGTTGGAATCATACGGCGTGCAGTGGATTGGCTTTCACTTAACAAAATGCATTTACAGTTTCTCTGTGTCTTTTCATGGCCCGATAGTTCATTTTAGTGCTGAATAATATTCCATTTTTTTAAAGATTTTATTTATTCATTTGAGAGAGAGAGTGCGAGCACGAGGAGGAGCAGAAGCAAAGGGAGAAGCAGACTCTCCTGCTGAGCAGGGAGCCTGTTGTGCGACTCCATCCCAGGACCCTGGGATCGTGACCTGAGCCTAAGGCAAATAGATGCTTATTAACCAACTGAGCCACCCAGGTGCCCCTAATATTCCATTTTATGGATGTGTCACAATTTGTTTATTCACTGTTGAAGGACACCTGGGTTGCTCGTAAGTTTTGGCAGTTATAAATGAAGCTGCTATAAACATTTGTGTGTTGGTTTTAGTATGGTCATAAATTTTCAACTTGTTCGGGTAAATAGGAAGCAGTGTGATTGTCTGGATCGAGTGCTAAGGGCATGGTTGGTTTGGTAAGCTGTCAAACTGGTCCCCACAGCTGCTGTGTCATTGTGCAGTCCCATCAGCAGTGAATGAGAGAGTTCCTCATGCCTCCTGGGTGTGTAGACTCACCGTGTATCCATCACCTCCTTGGGGTACTCAGTATAAAGTTGGGATTGTGGTATATGATTGTCCTTTTCCTTTCTTGAAGATCTGAAGGGAACTTTCTTTGGAAAAATGCACTTGTTACATAAAACATGTAAAACTTCATAACATCAAGGTTCACGGCTTGGAATCGAGATTGAGAGCATCTGTTCTAAGATATTCAATCCTTGAATCTGAAATTTAAAGAGTAGCAAGTCCTCAGTGAAAACAACCCCTTCTAATGATTTACTATCTTTTCCTTCAGTTTTAGGAACAACTTACATTTTAAATGATTTTTTTAAAGAGCAGGAATACCAGAAGGTCTGGGTTAGTGTTACCTTTGCTTCTAAAACCTGTGACACGAAGGGTAAAAATCATTGTTTGTAGGTTAGCTCAGAGGAGGTTGCCAAGAGTGGCATTGATCCAGACTAGATGGTTGTATAGTTGATTGATTTATTACAGCCTTTGTTTTGAAGAGCAGGCTAGAAGTTTGGAATGGGGGGTGGGGAGCAGGAAAATGGATAATCATCATTATGAAAAACCATATTTTCAGGGCCGCTGGGTGGCTCAGTTGGTTCAGTGTCTGCCTTCGGCTCAGGTCATGATCCTGGAGTCCCGGGGCTTCCATGACGCCCACCAGCTGGAAGGCTCCCTGCTCAGCACAGAGTGTGCTTCTCATCCTCCCTCTGCTCTTCCCCCTGCGCGCGCTCGCTCTCTCTCTCTCTCTCTCTCTCAAACTCTTCAAAAACCTATATTTTCAAAGTTTAAAGGCTAGAAGCTTTGTCTTCAGAATAACTTTTTTCTTCATTTTCAGAGAAAATAACACATTAAATTACATGGTCTTCTAAAAATGAACGCTGATGTTTCAGATCCAAAGAATTTGGGACCTTGGAGTTTATTTTGTGCATAATCTTTCTTTGAGCAGATGAGGAAGCTAAGGTTACATGACTCGCCTTTGGTCATGCAATCTTGTTGTGGCAGCACCCAGAACCTACGTATCCTGATTTCTAGTTCAGTGTGCTTTGCCACGACTTACCTGAAAAATAAAAGATGTAGGGAGAATTTCCTTAAAAAAGAAAGGAGAAAAAAAAAGTGAGTCAATGCCATGAAACATTGCATGCAAGTTTAGGCCTTGTGGGGCTTGCAGAAAGTGCTTCATGCTGAACAGCACTTTGGATGTGTGGGACCATGACCCTGGATCCAGTTGCTGTTTTCCTTTCCAGTTCCCTAGCCATAAAAGTTTATAAACATGTGGCCATTATGGCTCTTGACCTCTGGACATGTTTACACAGATTTTATTCTTTTCTTGTTTTCAAGACAACTTATTTATTAAATATTTTGTCTGTGCTTCCATCTGATTTGAAATATTTATTTTAGGTATAAGGACATCAGAGGTCAAAAGCTGAATCTGGCCCACTGGCTCCATTGTCCCTTAATGGTGTCCATGTCTAGCTAGGATCATTGGTGCCCCCTAGTGAGATGACTGGGTAAAAGCAGCCATTATAACGGGTGGATGGAAGCTGTTTAGCATTTTCAAAGGCATGGTTTAGCAGTTTTGTTGACAATTAAAAATAAATGTAATATATATATATATTTTTTTTAAGAAATCGAGACCAAGAAGTGAACAGCGAGAGAATGAACTGATTATTTCTTTCCTGAGATGTTTATATGAAGAGAAACAAAAAGGTCACATCCATATTGGGGAGATAAAGCAGGTATGGCATTTTTTTCCCCCTCTTTTAATTTTACCAGGATGCTGTGTAAAACAGAATCTTGAGGATTTTCTCAAGTTCTGAAACTCTTTTTCTCCCTGTGTTTTATTTTTACTTGTTGCACATGTAGGGGAAATTTGGAAATATTTAGACTGTGCTTGTAGGCGGTGAGGGTAGTTGCGTCTGCCTCAGGGGGCGGGTGGAGCAGGCGTTCCCAGCAAGAGGGCAGCTGTAGAGCTTCAAGAAGGAAGTTGGAGAGTAGATACTGCCACAACAAGCTACTTGACCTGCAGGGAGCCCGTCTCTGTCACCTCCCCCCTCTCCCCGGGAAAACGGGAATGACCTTGCATCGGTGCCTTCAGAATTCTGTAAGGTGCCCGGAGTTTCTTTGGAATGTCAGGACTATGTGAATGTAAGGTAACTGTGCTGACAAGTCAGGTGCTGCGCTAGGGAGCCTGGCGCATGAGCATCCACGTACCAGACTGGCATTAATTCTGTTTCACGTGCTGGAGGTCCTGAATCGGCTTGCCTACCTCTTCTGGGCACAAGCATTGTTCAGCTTTTCTGTCTCGGGGTGCTGTGCCCGAAGGTGGGGCTCCGAGTCTGGGATTCCATACACGTGGTGTCACGCATCATGTTCTTATATCCCTCAGACTCTGTGTAAGTCGATTCATGATAACCAGTAGAGCTTCAGGTGTGCATTTTGTATTTAAGTTCCTTGTAAGTCAGAAAATCTAGAGAAATATCACTGAAAGGTGTCCAAAAAATCCTTAATTTTCCAAAAGTAAATGGTCTTTATTTTTTTTAAGATGTTATTTATTTTTTATTATTTAAGATTGAGCATGAGCAGTGGGGGGGGCAGAGGGAGGGGGAGAAGCAGGCTCCCTGCTGAGCAGCGAGCCCAACATGGGGCTCGATCCTAGGACCCTGGGATCATGACCTGAGCAGAAGGCAGACCCTTAACTAACTGAGCCACCCATGCGCTGCAGTCTTTTTTTTTTGGAGAGAGAGAGATTGGGAAGGTGGGGAAGGAGCAGAGGGAGAGAGAGAATCTTAAGCAGACTCCGTGCCCAACGCAGAGCCTGACTTGGGGCTCGATCTCACAACTGTGAGATCATAACCTGAGCTGAAACCAAGAGTTGGGCGCTTAACCGACCGAGCCACCAGGCATCCCTGTATATTGCCTTTTTATAAAATGCCTAACTGATGTGTTCTACAGGGGCTTTAATGCTCAATGGCGCACCCCCTCCCTTTAAACACCTCTGCTTTTCTGGTCACCTAACCGTGATGTGGTTTTACTCTCCCCAGATTCCTGCCTTCCAGTTGGCTCTGGCAGTCAGGTCCCTTTCCTGAGCTCACAGAGCTCACATACATTGAGCTCACGACATTGTTTTTCATCTCCTTGGCCAACCATAGCATCTCTCGGCAGGGACCCTAATGCCAGTGCACCGTATGTGTGTCTGGCCTCTGCCAGCCCCCATGCCTCCCTTCCCAGGACAGCGTGGGAGTTCTGTGCTCCTCCAGCTCACTCGGGTGGGCCACCCAGCCTACGCCGACAGTGAATTTTTTGCTGCTTTTCAACCTATTTTCTTGTTTCCATCCCCCCCCTTTTTTTTCCTCTTGTGCCATTAATAGTTTTTCTCTGTTGTAATTTTTTTCCCTAACTTGTCCCAACAGGAAATTGATAATTTTGAAATGATTTATAACTGCTGGAGGGGAGTGAAGCATTTATGGTGGATGGAAAGTTTTGACCTAAGAACAAACTGTTATTTAAGGAACAGAGACGTATCTTTATGATTTGGGTGTAGTTTAGTCCAGTGGAGAAATATATTTAATTTTTTTTTCCATTTGAAAACATGAGAATTTAATCTCACAGCTTCCAAGCCTTACAAAGCAGAGCTGTCAGTGCTTTCTCTCGAGGTTTCTAAACATTTTGTTCCCCAGCAGGCTCACGTCCGTGCCTGTAAAGAAGTTGCTCTGATCCCCGTTGTGGTTGGGTCTCCCCCAGGCTGGACACGCACTCGGGCTCTGAGGATCAGGCTTTTCAGTGCAGCTGCTGTTTTTAGATGGATCAGATGAAGTTTTGAGATTCACCAGTAGATTCCTGCTCTCATTTTCTGCTACCAAATAGTTTACATGGATCTCATTACACTCTTGTTGCACCTGAAAATTCCCATAGCCTTTGGGTAGTGTTATGACTTGACCTAGAGAGGAGTTAGAACCATGGCTTTGGCAGTGAACTCTCTGGCCCCCGGCCCTCAGGTGGACAGAAGACGCTGAGCACAGACCCAGGGCTGCACTTCTCAGAGCCAGTGGTGATGCTGTATGTGCTTTTCAAAGACTAAAATGGTAGCGTTGGATAGCTGTCAGAGGAACCATTTTTATAAAATAGAACAACTGAAGGACGTTTTGTTCTTGTGGAAAAGGAAGAATCGCTTTGGGCAAAGACCTGTAAAGTAATAAAGTTAGAAAGTGTCACATTTTAGTCAGTAGACATACTGTTTCTACTTGTCTGGACAGAGCTGGTGCGAAAAATTAAGAATATTCAATCAACTGCCACTTACTGAATGTTTGCCACGTACCAGACAGAGTTTGAATTTTTTGCATGAGTGATTCCAGTTTTTCTATAACTTTTTTGAGGCAGGTGGTGTAATACCGTTCGAGGTGGAGATGTGGGGAAGAGGTCAAGCAGCATGTTAGGGAATGACGGCCGATGTGTCACAGGTCCACTATCTTAATCATTATGCTTTTTAGGAACTTACCTAACAAAATTTAATGTTATATAACTACTCACTGATTTGCCTGGGTCCATTTTCTAGTAGAGGAGTTTTTTTCTGACATTTTATTTTGAAAAATTTCAAACATGTAGGAAAGTTGGAAGAAACACACAGTGAGCATTCATATACCCACCATCCAGATTATACCATTTGTAGCATTTTGCAATATTTGCTTTCCCATATATCCGTCCAGTTCTTATTTCATGTTTTTTTGGATGACTTGTAAAGTAAGTTTCTGATACTAGCACTCTTTATTCCCATACACGTCAGCGTCCATATAACTAGCTGTAGCTCAGTATTTGTTCACAGTTGTCTTTGGAGATTTACATCCTGTAAGCTGCACAGATCTTGAGTGCACTGCTCGTTGAGTTTTGAGGACTTCATACATTTAAGTGGCCCAAGCCCCCGTCAAGATAGAGAGCACCCTCTTTCATGCCAGAATGTACCCCCATACCTCTTTGCTGGTCCTCACCACCCCTCCCCCAGGCAACCAAGGTTTTGATTATTTATACCATAGGTTGAATTGCCTGTTCTAGAACTTTTGCAGATGGAATCAGAGAGTCTTTACTCTTTCAGTTCTGGCTTCTTTCACTTTGTGCTACTCATCCATGTTGTTGTGTGTCATCAGCCGTTTGTTCCTTTTTATTCCCATGGGCCAGCCCCACAGTTTTCTCCATCGTCCTTCTGGTGGACACCTTGGCTACTTGCAGGTGCTCGTTGTTACGAATAAGGCTGCTAATGAGTACGCCATGGTGCCACAGGATGGTGGGTCCTGACCTGAGAACGTCAGTGTAGCCGCAGAATTTAAAACTTGGCTCCACACTTCTGTGCAGAGTTCACCCGTCTGTCCTGGGCTGGGCAGTGTGGTGACTCGGTACAAATTGCTCTAGCACCCCAAATTGGAAGAACCAGCATCCTCTTCAAAAGGAGAAACTTCTAGATGCTTATTTTAAAATAAACAAGGAATATATTTTCTAAACATGAATTGTTTTCAAAGCATATTAGAATTGTGGTGATAGACCTGGAAAAGCATCATGTTAGGTGGGAGAGGAGAGCAGAGGAAGCATTGAACTCGGTGTACAGACATTCATATGGCCTGGTTTCAGAAAAGGAAAAGTGCAGTTTTTCTTGTATGTACTTTCTGCTGTGTGCTACTGGTCTTGTAGCCAGTGTTTATCTATCAAAACAATCCATTCAAAATGCTTCTACTTCATGGAAATGTGTGGAGTTTGAAAGCAAGCCCACGACTTCTTAACTTTGTGGGAGAACTGGCGGCGAGTCAAGGGCAGACTCCCTGAGGGCCCTGTGTGGATCCTTTCCTTTGCTCTGGAGTCTGTTGCAAGTCTGGACAGGCCCTGATATTTGGTAACTGATTGCACAGGACCAATGGCAGTGAGTAAGGCACCTGCCCGTGCTGCATGATGTTTAGCCGGTACTTAGTCAATATCTGTTGTGGGAGTCTGTTGCTTTGGGTACGTGTTTCCCAAGGGCCTACCTGGTGATCATTGCTCATTCACTCCTTCAGCAAGCAAGTGGGAAGTGTCCAGAGCATGCTCCGTATACTCTACGAAAACATAAAGATAAATGATCGTCTCCCTCAAAACAATTTCTAAGCTAGTTGTCATTCTCTTAATGCACATTCTAATTCTCACAGAAGTAAAACTCTGATGACTGCATGAAGCCCCAAAGGTAGCTCTTATCAGAACCCTTCTTTCTCTTTTATGCCTTGAACAATGTATGACATTCATTGATGAGCTAGGATTTCATCATTTCAAAGAAGACATGATATCTTTGACCAGCAAATAACTAAATAATAAAAAATGCATAATCACATAGGAATCAGGGGAAAACAAATTGAGACCGTCTGTAGCCATTAAATTGGCAGAAATGGAAAAATCTGACCATACCATGTAGAACTCTCATGTACTGATACTGCGACTATTAGTACCATGTAGGGGAAAAAAATTTGACAGTATCTGGTACATGTGAAGACGTGCAGACCTAGAGACCCAGCAAGGACATTTCTAATTATTTACCTTGCAAAAACTTTCACATCTTTGCTAAGGAGCTATGTTTGGGAGAGATTAGTGCAGTCTCCTTTGTAAAAAGCACAAAGGAATACATGTTTAAGTATAGGAACATGAACAAATTACGTTGTCTTACAGTGAGCAACTGCACTCTAATTAAAGTGAGTGAATCCAAGAACATTTGTCAACACAGATAAATCTCAAAAACTACATTGAAAGATAAAAGGTAGTTATGGGAGGGTATGTACAGGATGATCTGTTCATTTAAAGTTTCAACTACATGTAAACCATTACGTATGTTTTATGGATACATACATGTATATGAAGGTACATGGTACGAGTTGATGAACACCAACTTCAGGAGTGGGGTTATTTGTGCAGCTGGGAAATGGAGAGTGGTTCCAGGAGGTATCACAGAGGTCTGTAATGTTTTCCATAAAACATGGGAAACAGTACCTAAGAGTCAATGATCATGACTCATAGCTGACATCTACTGAGCGTCAGGTATGTTCTTGGTGCTTTAGTGTGCATTAGTTCCTCTGAAGTTCATAAGTGCTCTGTGAGGAAAGTTCCCTGTGTGTCCTCAGTCTGCAGGTGGAGGAATGGAGGGGCAGCAGGTAAAGATCTGTCCAAGGCCACAGAGCTAGGGAGACACAGGAGCATCTCATCTGGGCCTGGGCTCTGGAGCCCGCGCTCCTCGCTGCTCTCAACATGTGCATGTTCACTTGGCCAGAGCTGAGTGGTGGTGGTGGGGGATGGTGCAGATGCATGTGTTATATTGGTCTGTGCGCTTTTCTTTATGCTTGAAATATGTAACAACAAAGAATGGTCTGAATTTAGAGTGTTGGAGTATGTGCTTGTGCTTATTTGTGTTTTTAATCTAGAGAGTTTTTATAGTTTTTTTTTTTTTTTTACCATACCTCTTTGTTAATAAGTAGGATTAAACCTCATTTTGTGGTTGGCATCCAAACACCATTGTGTTGGCAGCTTCATGTTGTGGCCAGTGAGGGGGGCAAGCATAGTTGCAAAGGGAAGGGGTGACAGAAGCCATAGGTGGGGGAGAGGAAGAAGTGGAGAAGACAGAGTTCCACAGAAAGAGATGAAGGGATTAATTTAAAGTTATGGAGTGGATCCTATTTGTTTCAGACTCTGAAATTCCGTCAAAGGTAAGTTGTTCTTTACTTGGAAGAGCTAACACTGTCCACCTCCGTACCAGCAGCTCTCCTCGATGCTTTACGTGGTTTTACCTGTTTCATCTCACAACACAGCATTAGGATTAGATCATGAGGTGGGTCTGAGTTGACAGAGGAAGGAGCTAAGTTGAGGAGAGGGGAAGTAGCTTGTCCAAGGCCAGTTAGTGAGGGACACATCTCTGATCCTGACCGCAGAGCCTGAGCTCTCGAGCTTTGTTAACAGAGTGGTTTCCAAGCACATTTCCTCGTTTTGTTTGGAGCAGTCAGAGCAGTGCTTTGAGGCAGACTGTTTCCTGGACTTGCAGTCTTGCCTTCGAGGAGCGGATGAGATGAGGTCAGGGGATCAGAATAATGGCCTGGGGTCAAAAAGATGCATCCTAGAGATTGATCATTCCTTTAAGAAGGAAAAAAGGAAGGGAGCAAGGAAGCTGTTAGTGACTGACTTAACTTTTCATTGTTTCACTTTTTAGACCTCACAGATTGCAGCAGAGAATATTGGAAGTGAGTTACCACCGAGTGCCACTCGATTTAGACTAGATATGCTGAAAAATAAAGCCAAGAGATCTTTAACAGAGTCTTTAGAAAGTATTTTATCCCGGGTAAGTAGCATAATTTCTCCTAATCTAAGTTAAAATCACTTTTTAAGAGAACATAAGATTCAGTTCTTTGCCTTTTTAAAAAAAAAACTTATTTTTAAGTAATCTCTACGCTTGGGGTGCCTGGGTGGCTCAGTCGTTAAGCGTCTGCCTTCGGCTCAGGTCATGATCCCAGGGTCCTGGGATCGAGCCCCACATTGGGCTCCCTGCTCAGCGGGAAGCCTGCTTCTCCCTCTCCCACTCCCCCTGCTTGTGTTCCTTCTCTCGCTGTGTCTCTGTCAAAAAAAAAAAAAAAAAAAAATCTTTAATCTCTACGCTCAACGTGGGGCTCACACTCACAAACCTGAGATCAAGAGTTGCATGCTCTTCCAACTGAGCCAGCCAGGCGCCCTCATTTCTTTGCTTTTGTGCCATCAGTGTTTGTTATAAGAGCAGTGTTACCTACACTTCAGTTTTTAACTTGGTTTAGGTTAAAAGAAATTTTCTTATATAGCATGGTATTTTTGTTTCCCAAAAGGATGTTATTCACTGGCCCGTCTCTGTGAAGAGCACAGATTAGATCCTCCCTACGAGGCACAGCTTAAAAAACCCTTTACTGTCGGCCGCGGCTGGTACACGTCTAGAACTCTCTGCTGCGGGTCAGTAAACTGTGGCTCTCGGGTCAAATGCCACCCACCTCCTGTTTTTGTAAATAAAGTTTTGGCGACACAGCAGTATCCACTCATTTACCTATATTCTTAATTTGCTTTTGTGCAGAGCTGAGTAGTTGCCACAGACAGTATGGCCCCCAGAGCCTAAGAGATTTAGTATCTGGCCCTGTACAGACAGGTTTGCGCACTGCACTCTGCAGGAAGAGCGAAGGAAACACAGACAGCAGTCTGAGAGTTCCCTAAGAAATTACATGCTGTGTGCTCCCCACCCCAGCAGGTGTACATAACCTTTGATGGCACTCCTAAGAGATCAGAGTTCGATTTTCTTTCAAAGTTTCACATCTTTCTGGAGCTTGAAAGGTCTTACAGTTTTTTTTTTGTTTATTTGTTTTTATTGTTTTTTTAAATTTCATGATACACTCCATCTGAACCATGCTTAATTTTGTTCTGGTTAAATTTTATTTTGTTTGAAGGTGTTTCTCAGAATTTTGCAACATCCTTAGAGATAATTCAAAACAGTCCATTTACAAAACCAGGTGGCCACCTCTGAGAGCTCCTGAGTGGATAGAGTGTTGTCTGAGCGTCCTATAGCTGGCGGGGTGTGACAGCTTGGGACTTGGGCGAGAGGTGTTGAGTGTGCTTGCTTTTCTTCATAGACAGATTGTCTCTTCTTCCTGCCCGTCATCCCTGCCAAACGACTCATACACAAGGTGTTCAGGAACATTTAGGTTGCTGTGCTATTAAAAAAAAAAGTTGATTATCTTCATGCACATATGTGCTCAGCAGCTTTATCTTAGTAGATCATTTTCCCTGAGGTTGTTTAAATAGACCAAGCTGCTTCTGTCTGATGCCTTTGCACAAGCCTAAGGGATTCTAACTTGAATGCTTTTCTTTATGTAGGGTAGTAAAGCCAGAGGCCTCCAGGAACACTCCTCCAGTCTGGATCTGGACAGCTCCATGTCTAGCACTTTAAGTAACACGAGCAAAGTAAGCACATCTCCCTTTCTGTGACACCCTGAAGAAATCAGTAAATGGGTCATGCTCATCTGCTACCTGCAGAGCCTACAAAAGGATCCCAGGAAGCCCCCTATCTTTCATCTTCAAGTTTGGTGCCTGAGACTTCTGGGTGCAGGAGGAGGGCTGGTCTTGCAATTCTGTAACTTAGAAGTTTCACATAACAAAGCAGATGGCCACTACATAAGCAAAGAAGCAAGATAACACTTTTAGATCACTGAGAGGTAATTTATCACAAAGCAACCAATGGACTTGCCCAAGATTAAAAATAATTGAAATTGGGAATACCTCAAAAGTGGGTTTGTGAATTCCGTGAAGTTTACAGCTTGAATACTTTTACCCTTTGGCTAGCTCTACGATTGTAATTAAATATTACTGTTATAAATTAGACAACTAAGCTTCACCCCTTGGGTCTGTCCCCAAGCACAGCTTCGTGATAATGAGCAAGCCAGTGGTTCTCTTTGGTAACAAACCTGTGTCCGTGTCCTTGTTTTAGTTTCTTGCTTTCTAGACATTTAGGCAGCTTCAACTCTTTTTAACCACCAGAAAGTGAATTTGGGGTTTGCATTAGGGAGGCCAGCTTTCCTTCTGCCACCAGAGCTCCTCCAGACTCTCGAGCGACGGAAGCTCTGTGGAGCAAGCTCCTGACCACACAGCTCTTAAGTTCTGAATTTGCTCCCGGGCATGTAGCTTTCAGAGCTTTTAGACCATAGCCAACAGTAAGAAACTCATTTAACGTTGTGAAACGATTCACAAACACATACGTACACACTTGCATCCCGAATTAAAATCACACAAAACAGTATTTACTGTAAACAACCTGTGACACGTACTGTTCTCTTTGGTTTTTTTTTTATATTAAAAATGTCCATGGCCAATGAAATTGATACCACCACCTGCCGTCTACCGCTTGAGAAACACTGCCTCGGGAGGGTGCTGCTCAAGTTCTCAGGTGTACCTTTAATGCGGTTCCGGCAAAAACACAGATTCTGGTTCAGTAGGCCTGGGGTGGGGCCTGAAATGCCATATCTCTGACAAGTTCCAAGGTGGTGTTGATGCTCCCGGTTTGTGGACTCTCTCTCGGGAGCGTGGCCCTAGACACCAGTCCTCAGAATATGATTTTCTGAGTTAAAATCTGGTGGGACGGAGCATCATCTGACCTCCATCAACTACATACCAGTTCTTCCCCACAGTTTACTTCACATTTGGAAACAGTTTATGGTGTATCTGCAATATACAGATGAATGGGACAAAGCCCTCAGAAACTTACCTGGGAGGCAACAGATACTCAAATAACACCAGCATCAGGGTATGGAAGGAGCCCTGAGAGTTAGCCTAAGAGATGGTGGTAACTTCGCCGTCCCAGGAGCAAGGGGAAGGGAAGATATTTTGGACCAGTGGAACCAGAGAAAGCGTGGGAATGGGGACAGTGGTGCTTTTGAATTAAATTGTAAAGGATAGGCATTGCGCCTGGGGAAGTGGACAGGGAATTGGCTTCTCAGATCACTGCAAATAAAAGATACTGTGAAGAGGCTCATGTCACTCAAGTGACTTTTCCAAGAAGTCTTATCACTTGTTTATATTCTTCTCCAAAGCACAGATCTAAAATATATATGAAGCTTCAATTTCTAGGGTAATCTTAAGAGAAATACAACTTTCAGGAGCCACCTGCTTGTATTGCGTGTGGGGGTATCTTTATAAAGTGTACTTTACATCTTTTTTTAACCTGAGATTGAGAAACTGTTGTAAAAATAAGCTATTTTATGTAACTGGATCTCTACCAGTAAATTGATCATCTACCTGTTGAGGAACATCCGAGTAGCCCTTTTAGGTGTAAGATTAAGCTAAGGATTAGCTCCTTCATGTAATTTGGAGGGAAGTTAATAAGAGTTGAGATGAGCAGGTTTGCATAATGGAGAATGTTTGCTCTGATGTGTCATCTTAGACAAAATTTTAAATCCTTAAAAGGATCTTTGGAACTACAGAGTCTTGAAGAATGAAAAATTTCAGCTATGTTTAAAGGTAATTATATTTTGTAGTATGTTGGGAATTTTTTCCTAATTCCTACAAAATTAAATGTATATCTCTCCCCTCAATAAACATATTTTTAAAAATTAAAATCCTTAATATATCATCTGAAAGGCATGTAACCGTGTATCAAATGAACAGAGAATTTAGATTCTTCAGTCCATCATTAGATGCATTCATTTCATTTTACTCTCTCTGTTTATCTCTTCTAGCAGTTTCAGCAGGGGCAAACTGATATGCCCACCCTTATTTTATGTTCTTTGGAGAAGAATATATTAGCCACCAACCATGTCCTGGGTGCAGTGCAAAGCATAAGATTGCCTCATATGTCTTTGAAAAAGCATGTATCTCGAGAGACTATGGTATTAAAGTATTGTCATGATTCTCAACAAATGTTGGAGTTACCTACTCAGTAGCTTCATTGAGTACCTGATACAGTAACTTATATTTGTATAACATTTTACGGTGCACTTTCACTTGGATTACCTTGCCTAATTCTTGAAACCCACTGAGATAAATTTTCTCTCTACCCTTTTACAGTTGAGAAAATTGGGGTACAGAAAGAAGTTAAATAATTGGCCCTGAGTTCTGGCATAAGTGCCTAAAGAGATTTTCATATTCTAAGAATAATACAGGATATAGTTTTTAACCTCAGGATCACCAAGTTAAATTTCTTTTTTTTTTTTTTAAAGATTTTATTTATTTATTTGAGAGAGAGAGAATGAGAGATAGCACGAGAGAGAAGAGGGTCAGAGGGAGAAGCAGACTCCCCTGCCGAGCAGGGAGCCCGATGCGGGACTCGATCCCGGGACTCCAGGATCATAACCTGAGCCGAAGGCAGTCGCTTAACCAACTGAGTTACCCAGGCGCCCACCAAGTTAAATTTCAACATTAGATCAAAATCAGCCTTAAGAATGTGGGTAGAACATGTATGGACACACTTGGCAGAGATAAAGAACGACTTGGTTTGTGTAAACAGTGCAGACAAGTTCTACGAGTTACAAGCACAGTAGAGTCTTTTACAGGGAGAAGGGGCTATTGACGGCTTTGCTTACAAGGGCTACGTCCTTCCCCTTGGATTTGGGCAGGTTTCCCCATCTGTCCAGCAGCCTAGCATTTGGTCTCTGATAAGCAGGGCCTTATCGGGCCTTCGTTCCCTTACATTTTCGGTGGCCTCTAGATGGCATTATAACCAGATGGGCTCCTGTGTGAAAATGTTTTCCTGCCCCTGGGAGGAGATTGCCCGTGATACGCCTCACCTGCTGTCCGTCTGCCGTCAGGAGCCGTGCGTGTGTGAGAAAGAGGCCCTGCCTGCCTCCGAGAGCTCCTTCAGACTCCTCGGCTCCTCAGATGACCTGTCCAGTGACCCGGGGAGCCAGCCCGCAGAAGAGCCTGCCCCACTGTCACCCCAGCAGAGCTTCCGAAGGCGTGCCAACACCCTGAGTCATTTCCCCGTGGAGTGCCCGGAGCCTCTGGAACCGGCTCAGGGGTCTCCGGGGGCCTCCCAAAGGAAACTTACGAGGTACCACTCAGTGAGCACAGAGACGCCTCATGACCGGAAGTAAGATTTGTTTCAAAATGTGAATTTGTTGCGTAACTAGCTGCGGTGTATCTGTCATTAACCCAGAATGTGCAGCCCAGCTATGCTTACTGGGTGACAGAGAGACTTGAGTCAGGTTCTACTGTGGGCTTAAAAGCTAACACTTGAAGGCATGTTCTGTTCCTCCCGTGGCAACTCTGTAGATGTAAGAGGCTTGTTGCTTGTTCGAGTAGCAAGTACAAGTTTCAGGAGGAAGCAGCTGAGACAGAGCAGAAATGGCCCTCGAAGTGGGTAGTAATCACTGCTCACGCAGTGTGCAAGGCAGGGCTCCTGGAACCTAGCTGCCAGCTTTGGGGACAGGTGGCAGGGGGGCGAGCCGGGGAGTCCTCGTTTGCAAACCTGGGATCCTTCTCTGGTGGCACGGAGATGTGGCGTCCGTCCCACGCGGGGCACAAGCGGCAACGTTGCCATGTCTGCTGCCTGTGCGGCCCGGGGTTCCAGGGCTGGCTTGGTCCTGACCTGGTTGTGACCTGGGCACACCTGCTTAGCTTCTGTGTGTAACCAAATTGGGATGGTTGTCCTTCTGTGTGCATTCTGCTAGAATCTGCTAACCGGATCTGCTCATTTTGAATAACTTGGCTCGAATGAGCGGTTGGAATTTCCTGGTTCTAGACATGGGTAAGCAGCAGGGGAGCAGAAGGTCTCCGGGCCCTTCTGGGGTCCCTTGGCAATTAATTTGACCCTAAGCAGTCACAGATTTATCCTTAAAAATAACTTGAAAAATCTTTTAAAATCCCTTACTTTATAAATGTGAATAAATGTGTAGAGTTGCTGCCTTCCTGGGACTGACATGCGTCGGGGATGGGGGTCACGCACGGATCAGGCAGAGTCTGCCCGGAGGTGTTTGACAGGTTTTGAGTGAAGAAATGAAACTATTTGAAAGGTGTAGCAGAGCCTCTCCACTTTGTTTCCCGTCAGCCATTGAAAATGATTGTGATGGTTTTCAAGAATTCGGCTGCGTAACTATGATCCCAAAGCAGGATGCATGCCAGAAGCTAGTATTTAATATATGACATCTTAGAGACAACAATTCAAGGGTTTATGAGGTTTTTGCCAGTTTATGGCTTCTCTCTCACCTCTCTGCCATGTCCCCAGCCCTCTGTTTCTGGGGTTTTCAGTGATTGTGGACGCATTCCTGTCTAGAGATTCCCAGTTCTCTTGCTAAGCCTGCAGTTTCACACAAGCAGACGTGGTAGGAAAGGGGTACCCCTGACGGTACATTTCCTCTCTCTCCAAGAATGCAGCTTCCTAATGGATCTTGCTGGACAGGGGAGGGCAGGGGAGGGTAGAGAGATGCCCGCCTGCCTCCCTCCCTAGCATACCTGTTTTGCTTTCTGCTCCCTTGTGAACTCTTTCCTCACTGATGCACAAGAAATAAGACCTTGAATTCCAGGCAGGTTATTGTTCATTTTAAAGAGAAATGTATTTTAAAAACTATGGATTTTGTTTTGCTTTTCTTTTTTGCTTTTAAGTAAAAAACAAAAAAAAATTGCCAGTTTCTGAAAAGGGAAGGGAAGAAAAAGCACTATTGGGTTCGTACACGTGTGAGAAATGGTCAAGAATGACTTTTCACAGTACTTTTTTTTTTTTTTTTTTTTTACTGAAAACTACCTTTGTCAAAGAGACAGTGGACACAGAAGAGAAGTGAAGAGCAGCCCTCTGACTGTGACAGCTGGTGTTTAAATAAGCGGACGGCGGCAGCCTAGCCTGTTCCCTCCGTGCCCCGCCTCGGGTCCCCCCTGGGCTCCCCCCCTTCCCGCTAATCGCCCTGCCTTCTCTCTAATTGCTATTTAGTGTGAATCATCCACCTGTGGGCGAGTCTAAAAGTTGCTCAGGTCAGTCTTCAGCTCCTGCTCTTCCACCTCGTCTTAACCCCTCCGCCTCCTCGCCAAATTTTTTTAAGTACCTAAAGCATAGCTCAAGTGGAGAACAAAGTGGGAATGCTGTGCTGAAGAGGTGAGCACACTCACGCGGCAAGTTCAGTGTCGTTTGTCTTCCCGGGAAGTTTGCACAGAGAGGATGTGCTGCATGGCGGGAGAGAACCCAGGGCCACCGCTTGTGTGTGTGTGTGTGTGTGTGTGTGTGTGCGCGCGCGCGCGCGTGCATGCGCGCTTGTCTGGTTTTGGTTGTATTATTTTCAGTCTATCATCTGAACTGACTTAATTCGATATTAATTAATTACTGTTGCCAGGTCTTCATGTCAAGCCATTTCTTACATACTTAGTTTCACATATCTCTGCCCAGTATATGCGCATGCGCGCGCCCACACACACACACACACACACACACACACACACACACACACACACACAGTTTAACAAGAACTGTGTTTGATTATATACACTGTGATTTGTCCCAAATCAGAAATGTCATGAATTTAGGAAAATTATTTTTTTCCAGTTTGAAAGGAAAAGTCATTTTGGAAGATGGACTGACTTTTTTGTTACGTTTTTATTCTGGTGAGAATGCTTAACATGAGCTTTACACCCTGAACACACTGTTAAAGTGCGCAGCACAGTATTGCTAACTTCGGGCACAGGGTTGTACAGTGGGTGTCTAGAGCTTGTTATGTTGCCTAACTGAATGGACTGATGTGTTTGAATTAATTCATTGATTTCCATTCATTTAAAATAGAATTTTATTGACTGAATGCAGAAGTTAAATCTCATTTGTAAACTTTCTAATTTCTTACCTGTTTTAATTTTCTTAGCATGAGAACTAAAGTGGTTACTTTAAAGCTTATATTTTATACTTTTTGTGTTTGTAGTTCTTTATCCTAAACTCTCTTCTCAATCAAACTCTCAGCATCTCCTACCGTAATGCCCTGCGGAAAAAACTTCATTCTTCTTCCTCTGTGCCAAATTTTCTAAAATTTCTGGCTCCTGTAGATGAAAATAACACCTCTGACTTTATGAACACGAAAAGGTAGGGTTTAATTTAGATATATCAAGCCTGGGTAGAAGTGTCGAATTACTGATATATACAGAGATTTTTCAGCTATTTTTTTGACACTCAAAAAATCATTTTAGCTAAATCAATTGTATCTTCTTTCTTATACTTTCCTACTGAATGTCACTTAAAGAAAGAGTCCTCTTGCTCTCCAGTTTTGACCAGGAGTAATTTATTAATGTGTTGTTTTCAGAGGATTCAAGAAAGTCTTAACCGGTTCTCTAAGTGATAGCATTGTTTCTGAGAGTGAGCATATGGCTCCAGTAAATAAGTCCGGATGTCTGACCTGTAAGGCAGGGTTATTCCTTAGTTGCGGTGTGTATGTGGGTGTAAATTACAAGGGCTTCCCCAAGTTGTCCTGAGAATAGGAAGAAAAATCACTGATGAGACGATGTTTACGGTATGTGTTGATAAATATACTTTGTTTTAAAAAAGATGTTAAAATAGTTGTCATCAAGTGACTGTAATTATTGCCTTGATGGTTCTGTGTAATCTTTTTTTTCATTTTTGCTGCCATCTGTGGAGATGCAGACCTATGCTGAGAAAATCTTCCCATGCATGGATGAGGGGAGATGGTGCCCTGGTGCCAGTACCCCCTTTAGACAGTTTCTCTTTTCTGAAGTGGTGCCAAAAAAGGTCCAACTGGAAGCTGGTGACCTGTGGAGTGTATTTCTTAACATCTTTTACAATGGACATAAATTAAGGGCATGCAATCTTGTGCTTTTCATGAAAGGCATCCTGTAAGAAAACAGTCCCTTAGGAATGTTGACCCACTGCGGGCTTGATTCAGCTTTCATGATTATCTCATTATGTTTTTTTATACAAAGATAATTTATAATGTAGTGTTTTGTTTAAAAACAAAAAGTCAAGCTAAAATACCTGATTGTATCTCCCCATCAGTCATCAGTCAGTCATTTTGTGCTTGCAGGGACTTTGACTCCAAAGCTAACCACCTTGGCGATGCCAGCAGGACCCCTGTGAAGACACGGAGACACTCGTGGAGGCAGCAGATATTCCTCCGAGTGGCAACCCCACAGAAAGCGTGCGACTCTCCCAGCAGATACGAAGGTACCGTACACCCCGGAAGTGACCTGTGAGATTCTGGCCCGAGTAACAGCAGAGCATTAGGTGAAGGAAAAGACGAAATGAGATTTCAAGTCAAATCACCCCCCGATTTTAAAGCTCCCTAGGTAAGAAGCTCAAATGACCATGCCTATCGCTATTTCCAGAGAGATCCTCAAATTCCACGTGTAAGAGAACTCAGCAGCTTGCAGCACCTTGTGTGAAAAATGGCCCCTCTGCCAAGCTGTTGTGACTGCTCACCCACCGTGTGTGGGAATGTGGAGGGGCTCCTTCCCTTCCCACTGCGTTCCCAAGCTTGTCTACCTCCCCACTGCGATTGGACTATAGGTTGACACTCTGCCTCAGCGCAGTGGGCTTGTGGCAGTGCTCCCTGGTCCCAGCGCTCTGGTTACACCCGTCACGTCCCCTGCCTCGTCAGCTGCTATCGCTTGGTGTGGTGTCACAGGAGGACCACCTTGTGCCCTCGCAGCCTGCTTGTGTCTCCCAGATACAGAGTATGCTCAAGTCTGTCTTCGGGCCTTCCTATGTGGAGTCACAATGTAGAAATCGAGTTTAAATGCAGTTCTAAACTTAAGATTTGTCTCTGCCCAGTAATAGCCTAAATTTTTAGCAGCAGGTATTTCTTTTCCCTAATGCTCTTTAGTCAGAAAACTTTTTTTTTCTTTAGAAAAAGCAAAGGAGGGCGCCTGGGTGGCTCAGTCGGTTAAGTGTCGGCTTTTGGCTCAGGTCGTGATCCCAGGGTCCTGGGATTGAGTCCTGCATGGGGCTCCTTGCTCAGTGGGGAGTCTGCTTCTCCCTCTACCCCTCCCCCTGCTCGTGATCTCTCTCTCTCTCTCTCTCTCTCTCTCTCGCACACACACACACACACACACACACTCACTCTTTCTCAAATAAATAAATAAAATCTAAAGAAAAAGAGAAAGCAAAGCAGCAGGGTAGACCTCTCAAAGACTTCTTGAGTTCCTCAAGTTGCATGTACTATGGATCAATTCTCATCCCTCGACATACTTCATTCATGTGTTAAGCAGCAGCCCAGGCTACCCCGAGAGTTTGCAGAGTAGGTTCGGTGTGGCTGCCCATTGTGGGGGACCCCTACGCCCTCCTCACGCTCCTCACCCTCTGCCCCTCTTTACTGCTTCTCTGTCTTTCTCCCTCTCCTTTCCCCTCCCTCCCCCAGAGTTCTCCTTAACATTTAATTTAAAAAATGCCTCCTCTGCCAAATTAAACAAGAGCCTGGTTTGGGCTCAACTAGCTTTGTGATATAAATCCTATAACTTCACCTAACCTGAGTCATAAAATGGTTATAGTGAATGTTGGCTCTTCTTATCTCATGGAATTACATTAAATTATGAATGGGAAAGTACTTTGGAAACCTAAGACGTATCCAATGTAAAGCAATACAGTTATTTTTGTTAACCATTATTGAGGTTGGAGCACTGGTGTTCAGCTTCCTGTACTGTTGTTTCCCAGCAGGAAGGAACAAGTAAAGGAACGCTAGAAAGATCGGGCTTATAAATGCAGTGAGATCTTTTTTTTTTTTTTTAAGTCATTGAGTTATTTCAAGTGTGTATCAGTTGAGAATATTTAGTTTTAAAGATTTCATTTTCATTTTTGTAGATTGGTAATGTCCAACAGCCAGATTGACTTCCTAAACTTCTAAGCCAAAGGGGTCTGCTGGGCTGGTGGCTGTTTGAAACACCAAGCTTGTAAAGTGCACAGCCTGGGAGGCTGTACCCCTTGGGGGAGCTCTGATGGCTGAGGAAGTGCAGTGAGCTCTGCAGACCCCACCCCGGGGCTGCTCTCTGCCTGAGTAGGGAAGTGTGGCGAGTGCCCGGATGGACACTGGTGTCACTGGTGTCTCCCAGTCGGTGTCTGAGGGACCGGAGTCAGAGGTTGGTCGGTGCTGGCAAACGTTTGCCTCTCTGGAGGGACCCCAAGATAAAATGGGCGAGTGGAGTGCACCATGGGCAGCACGCGAGAATGTGACCTTGTTTGGCCCAGCGGGTAGAAGCTCTGGGATGTGTGTCCACCTTCTCTTTTTGGAGGCTTCTGTTTTTAGTTGGTTTAGTCTGGAAACACTGTAAGAAACGGATGTTTAACCCCAAGCTGCATTCTTATTTATGGTGTTTGCAGTTGACAGGGTTCCTTGGTGAATTCTGGGCTAGCCAACATTGTTGGGGGAAAGTTTGCCGTGAATGAGTTGAGATGATGGATCGTTCCCCCAGAAGCCAGAGCGCTGAGCAGATCAGCCCCAGTACCCCGAAGCCTGGGCCGCGCAGTCTCTCGGGACTCGAGAACAGAGCGCTTGGTATTTCTCATCCCCGCACTGGAAATGGTACTCAGGAATACTGACAGCCCACCTGGCCAGGCCCCCTGGGATCATTCGCTTGCATATTGATGGAAAGCACAGAGCTGGCCACCTCGGTGTTGGAGGATCTGGGGTGGCCATGAAGGTGAACGTAGGGAAGGTATTTAGAGCTCATTTAGGGACCTCTTCTGAAGGCTGGAGCCAGAGCGGCTGCGTTTAAATCCCAGTGTTTCCCCTTAGGAGCCGTGAACTGGAACAAGCTGTTGAAACTTCTCCCCCGTGGTAGAGGATTCATTATGCCTGTTGCCACACTGATTTGAGATAAGGAAGCATGATGTTTCTACTGACACTTTATTTAAAAGCTTTCAGAATTCATAGATTTGAAAAAAAATGGGTGAGGCCAAGGTTTCCAGTGTAAAGTTACCTCCCATGGTGCAGAAAGGTCCCTCTGGGGTCTCTGGGCCCACTGCTGCTCCTGCCTCAGCCCCTCCATACGGGGGCACCCTCCCAAGGCCTGGAGCCCCTCACGGGAGCTGCTGAGCTCAGTGGCAGGAGCTTTGATTTCTCTCACTGCCCTCGGGAGCCGGACGGGAGCCGGAGCCAGATGGCCGTGCCCGCCTCTTCCCCTTCCCTGCTGCAGTGGAGAGGCCGGCCTGCTGCGAGGGCTCTTTCTCCCAGGTCCTGGTGGCGCCCTGTTAGCAGATGGGGCGGGTGGAGGAGAAGGGGAAGGGACTGGAGGGAGGCTCAGGAGGGGGAGCCGAGCTGTGATTTGTGGCTGAAACGACAGAACAGCAGTAACACCAGAAGTGGGGTTTCGAGGTTTCAGAATAGTGCCCCAGTATTGCAGTGGCTGCATCTCACGGGCTTTGTGGAGACTGGCACGTGGTGATGTATGTCATGCATTTAAATGTACAATGATAAGGGTTCCAAACTCAGAGCCCTGTGGCTGGGCATGTAGTAAGGGCTGTGGGTGACTGTGGGAAGCAGCCTGCCCCATTTTAGAACAGTTCTGAAGTTCCAGTGAATTTCTTAGATTGAACCAAATCCTGCCCCCTGTCGTTCCATCCCTTGGTGCCTCTCTGGTCTGTGTCTGAAGCCACACAGACTGTACTTCTACGTCCTGTTCTTCAGATGGTGGGAGGTCATGGAAACCATGGCTTCCTCTAAAGCTCCTCTCCGGCCGAACTGCCCTCGTTCCTTCGGCCTCCTGCGGGTCACTGCCGAGTCCCCTCCGGTCCAAGTCCTGTCCTCTGAGCGCACACACGGTCCCCAGCTGCAGGGCCCAGCACCCACGCGGCGTTCCCACCGTCCTGGCCCTCCGGTGTACCTCCTCCTTCCACCGAGTGGACACTTAACTCTTTTCTTCATGTGGCCTCACCTTCATAATCTCTTTCTGCTTTGAGTCCTTAACTCACATTCCTGGCTCTTACTACAGCTTGTCCTTTGGGGCATTAACTGCTATTTAAAAATCAGATTGATTTCTAGGGGCCCTCAAAAAGGTTTTCTTTTTTAAAGACAAATAAACAAAAAAACAAAGCTCTTTCCCCAAGCACCTTGTACCTGTGAAGTGCTAGAGCATCGGTTTGGCCAGTCCTTTTGGGATGGTTTTGAAGCTTGATATTGATGACCAGTACGTTGTAGAGACAGCGTCAAGCTGACGAGCCATACCTCTGCCTTTAAGTACTGAACACAGCAGAGCTACACACACACACTGTCCTGCCCTGCCCGGTGCATAATCCTCACAGATTCTCCAGGCCCCGGTTACTGAGCTGTGGGTTCTCCCCATCTCCTGCGGGAAGGTGTCCAAGAGACCCCTGTGCAGCGCCAGCCGACATCATAGTACATCGCCCACCTGTTTCCTCTGATGGAGGCTTCTGCTGGGGTCCCTCAGAGCCCATGCCCTGAGGCCTTTGCATGGGCTCTTCTCTCTGCCTGGAATGCTGTTCCCCTTAACCTCCTGATTAACCACCTCACCTGCCTCAGATCATTGCTTAAAGTCACCTTCCCAAGGAGGCCCCTCCTGGCCACTGTGTTTCAGATTGCACCCTCCCCTCCTACCACCAGACGTTCCTCGTCTCCTTCTCTTGACTTTTCCCTGACTTTTCCCATAGCACTTACCTCCTTGTAACACGCTCTAGCGTTTACTTACTCATGATCTCTGTCATCAGCTTCTCTAGTCCTTACAGGCTTGATGACTTTTAAAGGAAAGCAAGTAAATTGCTCAGATTTTTACAAACTTAGTATATGTTCATTTCTTAACTCCCTCTCTCTCTTCCTCCTCTGTAGGAACATGTCCTTTATGCTCTTTATTTAGAACTAATATTGTATGAATTTTGGGGTTATATTGTAGGTACTCTGTATGAGAGAGAATACAAGCATTTAGGACTCTGAATCGGTGTAGTAATAATCACTTATGCCGTTATCTATGGCAGGTGCTTTATAGGAATTCTTGAATTCCCAGTCAGCCTTATTGGGAAGGTTGGCATTTTTATGACACCCATTTCACAGATGAGGGAGTGGAGGCTTGGAATGGCTTAAATCCCTTTCCCCAGACTGCAGAGCTGGTGGACGACAGAGGCAGGCCTGGAGCTGGCGGACCTATGCCCACGGGAGCCTGGCTGCCACCGGAGAGGCGTGGCATGGCCTCCCGCATGAGCTTCCTCTCCGGAGCCCCCTC